ATAAAAACTATTATTTTATTGATGCAAAATATTTTGCCCTTTTCTTTTTGGGGTTTTTTATTTAGATTCATTATTTCTTTGCTTATTTTGGTTCCCGTTTTTTCATTATCATAATGTTCATTAGCAATTCTTTTTTTTTAAAATAGACTCTTTAGTTTGACTATCTTGAATTTCATTATAAAGAGTTTGTTGAGGTAATTTAAATTCATTAACAATATTTGGTTTAACTAATAATACTCTTTAGTTATACTATGTTAGAGTGACATTATAAATGATCGTTTTAACATTATTAATATTTTAATTATTACTATGATAATTGACACAGAAATTGTATTTTTTGAATAAACTTTCATATGTTTATTATAATAAATAATAGATTTAGTAGTATTTCAAAGAATATTATTAGTTAATAGAAGATTTAATACTTTTTTAGTAATTAATATTTTGTTTATTTTTATTAATATATATATTTATATGAATATATTTGAAAAGTATCATTAAATGAAAATGAAATAAGAAGAAACAATTAATATAAAAATAAGATATCAAGATTCTTTAAATATATTCGTAATTTTTATATTTTTATCATTTATTTTCAAATAGTAGAATGTTTTTAATATGCTCAAATTTCTTAAATTATTTATGTAAAATAAAATTAATATAAATGAAATAAAACAATAAATGTTCTTAATGAATTATTTCTTTATTGTTCAATTAGACAATAAAATGATTAAAAAATTGGTTCATGATTAAATTTAGTAACTCTTTTCTTGTATTCACAATTTAGTACTATTATATATTCTCATTAACAAAACAATCTGAATATTAAAAATATGTTTTATTAATGATTTGAGTATATTTATAAGTTATTATAAAACTCAAAATGAATAAACTTCATAAATATGATATTAATATTTTTAAGTGATTAAATTTATTTATTTGAAATTTGATTTGCTACTTATTTTGTTTTTTGACGTTTTATTTATCAAAATTATTCATTTTTTATTTCTTCAAAATCAAATTGATGATTTGTGGTTCTTTGAAGAAGATAAAATTTTATTTAGTTATATATTGGTTGAAATTATTAATGGATCGATTTTGTGGTTATAGAAGTTA